CTCTTATCTCATTAATATTCAAAAATCATATCTGTCCGGCCCCACATTCACATAACACTACAAGTCTAACTTTTACCCCTTATGCATGGATAACTACTTTCTGGGTCACCGCCCATCCACATTTAATCCTAGGGGACCATGGGATCCCTCTATTTATGCAAATCATACTGGAATCTAAACTAATCACACCTATGCCTGGTTATGAGGTTCCTCTTCAGGAGTTTCATGAAAAGGAACTGGGTTCTTCTTTGTATACAGATCTAACGTATTTCTAGCCTTGCCTATTAAGTGAAGAAGCACTATAGTTGCAGCAATATCTGGAGTGCATATATATAACTCCTCAGACTTTGTAACCTCTGGCCAAGTTCAAAAGTTAAAATCCTTCTTATGTTGGTCCCTCCAAAGGACATCAGAAGCAGTACTTAGTCTCCCATCACGTGGCATCCTCGCCAATAATAATCCTGCCATAGAGAAAAATGACCTAGGACATTCTGTAGCCTGTGCAATATTTTGGTTTGCAGATATACCCATGCTTAAGTGCAGTATTCATAATCTCACCATCCTAGTCCAGCAATCTTGGGAAGCTACAGTCACAGCCATTGAAGCGCAACGGCAGGCCCTAAACTCATTGGCAGGGGATGTTTTGCAGAACCAACTCATGTTGGACGTGCTTCCTGCTGAAGCAGGAGGCACCTGCATGCTGTCAAATAAACCTTGTTGCTTTTACATCAATAACTCAGGTCAGGTAGAAGAAAGTTTAGAAAAGATAACAGCATAAAAATATTAAAGGGCCTTCAAAAAAGAGTTCCTCAAGATTCCTTTTTAGCACAACTATTTCAAAGGTTCTCCAGTTAAATTTGGCCATGGGTTGCTCAACTTCTTCTGCCTATAATAAAGCTCATATTAGTTTGTTTATTTGCATCATGTATTGTTAACACTACATCTGGTTTTGTGTTTTCTAGGATACAACAATTTCAAACGAAAATAGTACTACAGCAAATCTATCTACTAAGAGAACTCCATAACTTTCCTTTGAATGCAGCAGAACAAAATTTTAGGCTACAAATGCTGTTCCCCCATAGTCTCATAGCAACCCTGCCCAATTTAGGTCTTAATTCCGGGATTTAGGTCCACATAACCTCCTGACCGACTAACAATCCTAGGGAGGGCCAACTCTACAGCCCTGGTCAGCAAGAAGCAGTTGGAAGATGAGACATTCAACCACATGCCAAAGATTAGTCATTGTTGCTCTGTCGGAGCGTGAAGAAAGGTAGAGTCCTAATTCGGGAAAAGGATTCAGGCTGGCAGGACCAGGGGAAAGCAAAACGAGAAAGCAGATAGATAAGCTATAAGTCTGCCTTTCTTCATGGTCCAGGACACATAGCCCTCATGCGTAATCACCCACAATCTTCCTGTGCCCAGCTATCATCAGATTCTTGGCTGATAGAAAAATTCAAGTTAGCTCACTGCAACTTCAGCATTATTATTACTACACAAAGTCTTCTTCAAGCGCAGAGCACAAACACCATCCTATAAAATTCCTAGCAAGCTTTTGTCTCTTTGCAGTCAGCTCCACTTTCGCTGACCTGCCTGTTGCACCCTTGCAATACATTTTCCTACTTTCTCAAATAAATCTGCCTTTCTTTACCTACAACTATCTTGGTAAATTCTTCTTACTGCCTGCACCACTGGCCCCAGACAGTTGCTGATCACCTATGACACTCATTACATTAAATGTGGTTTCCTGGATGAGATCCTGGGGCAGTAAAAAAGACATTAGTGGACAACTGATGAAGCTTGAAAAATTCTTTAGTTTAGTCAGTAGTAATACACCAATACTTATTTTTTTGTTTTGACAAATATATGATGGTTATAGAAGATGTTAACATTAGGGGAAACTGGGTGAGGTGTATAAAGAACTCTTTGTACTTTGCAATTTGTAAATCAAAATATGTTTTAAAATGAAAAGTTTAAAAGGCTTCAAATTAATTATTTTGAGATTAATTTACTGAGCCTATCGAACCAATCTATTGCACAATTTAAATATAGTTATTTTAAAATTTTTCTAAAATGATTATTGAATTCATTAGTGAAAACAAAACACTTATTTGAGTTTATAAGCAAAAGTCAGGTTTTGAATTTGGTATTAAACAATATCTTTTCAGAAAAGGAGATAAATATTGGTCAGGAATGAGTTACAAAGTCTCATCTTGCCAATAAGCTGACCAAAACTTTGTATTCCCATTGAGAAAAACAAAAAATAGTATAGTTAGCCAATGAGTTGCCTAATATAGCTATATGTAGTTGCCTAATATAGCTAATATAAGGTTGCCTAAATATACTTTCCTTTCTGGCCTTCTGAGCATTCCTAAATTCCAAGTGTCACAGTCTGGCACATGTGTTCAAAGCCACAGAAAGAAAGTAAAATAATGACAAATTATGTAAGTAACTTAGCCATAATTACACCACCACAGATATAGTTCAATAATACTACCCCAGATAGACAGAACCATTTTATATTACAGGGATTATTTTCCAAATAGCCCTAGTAGAGTAGACCTGGAACACGTTGTTCCCAGAGCATCTGGCTCTTTCCTCAGATTTGAGGAACAAATCAGAAAATGACCAGTGTTGTAATCAGTGTGATATAGTCATCTGAACATTCTTCTCAGATTTTGAACAGTTGTGCCTTCAATGAGATGCTGTTGTTTAAACACTCTTGTCTGGGGAAGATTTTTTTAAAAAAATCACAATTATCTTGTCACCCAATCAAATCTCACTGGCTCTGCCAGTCACGGCCAGTTCCTTCTCAGGAAGGTAGGCCCCTGAGCTTGGCTGACTGGCAGAAGCAGTGCTGGGTTGTGACTGAAGGTGAGCAGTGGTGGCTCACTTCTGTTTTGTTCTGCTCAGAGAGATTGTCCGAATGAGTTCTGATAAGTGACCAGATGTGGTTCCGCTCACCCTCAGTGGTCTCCATCTTTAAAACTGAGTGCCACAGGGCCAAGGACGGAACCTTCTTAAAGTTCAAGGAGTTACTCTAACACTGAAGGTTTCCTGAGGAAAAGTAACCACCACGCCTTCCACTGGTGGGCTTGAACAAGAAGCAGGAGAGGCAGACAGAAGCAACAGAAAGTTTAGCACAGAAGCTGAGAAAGGGCCTGGCCAATTCCAATTTCTAAGGCCTTCAATAAACAAAAAGAAGAAGAGATGCCAATATTGGTTTACTAAGTTATGGTATGTTTTAGATCTTTAAAGTTAATTAATAAAGCTGCATGTGAACATATCTCTAATCTGTCAAGGCATATCTCATTTTGAAATAACATTAAGAGTTGGGCACGGTGGCTTACGCCTGTAATCCCAGCACTTTGGGTGGCCAAGGAGGGCAGATCATGAGGTCAGGACTTCAAGGCCAACCACCTGGCCAACATGATGAAACCCCGTCTCTAATAAAGATACAAAAAAAATTAGCTGGATGTGGTGGCGCCCGCCTGTAATCCCAGCTACTCAGGAGGCTGAGGCAGGAGAATCGCTTGAACCCCGGGGGCAGAGGTTGCAGTGAGCTGAGATCACGCCATTGCACTCCAGCCTGGGTGACAGGGTGAGACTCTGTCTCAAAAAAAAAAAAAAAAAAAAAGAAAGAACGAACGAAAGAAAAAAGAAAAAGAAAAAGAAATAACATAACAGTCTAATTTGAATCTTCGTGAATACGAAGCTCAAGCTAAATAGTCCTACTATTCACTACTCCGTCCCCAGGTGCCTACCCAGAAGACCTCAACAGAATGAGAGTAAAAGCTTAGAAAAACGGGCTAAAGAGAACAAAAAGAGAAGTACTGAGAGGAAGATTCAGAAACAAAGTAGAAAAAAAAGGGAGAGACAGAAAGCTGAAAGACCTGGAACACCGCTCATCGTGGTCTCAGATGCACCAAGTAGCAGTGTATGGTCACCTTGCACTCACCTAGCCCTAAGGGGTATTTATGATGCTTTGTTGCTTTAGTGGGAGAAATCTGCAACCATCCATTTGGTATTAGGTGTTCACTGAGGACTGACTGTGCTGGGGACTGAGGAACCGGAGCCAAGATAAAAATAAAGATTGTATCGGTCTGCATAGAAAATGAAAAGTATTTTTTGCACTCTCTGGACAGCAAACAAGGAGATAAACAGGTCTCGAAAGAGAAAGGGTTCGCTTACTAGAAAGATGTTCAATAACAGTTGTCAACCCTGACGGAATAACCTCAGTGGCAAGTAGCCTGCTAAACCATATTCGTGCTTGAAATTCAGGTAAGTACTTGGAAGCTGATTTTTCATATACACCAATATGCCACATTCCGGCTGTCCAGAAACTTTCCAGGTACTGAGGAAGCCAGCAAGGAGATCACACTACCTTGGGGCTCCCGTAACAGGGTGCCAAGAGGAAAGTATTACCTAAGCCGAATCTTAAAGGAGTTAGCTTCTTGAAGAAAGAGACCAACAATGCCTCAAAAAGAGTACTCTCGACTGACAGGGTAGAAGAGGTGAAAGTGTAGGTCACCGAGGGCCTGTCCGGCCACGCCTTGTCTTTTAGGTATAACCTTTCTTCATTTTTCAACCATGGCTGCGATGCTAACTTTGAAAATAAACCTAATTTCCGTAGGAATCTTTGGTGATTCACACTTCCGAGGCACCCCACAGCATGGTCGCCAGAAGTCTGTCGTTTTGCAATTTTAATCAAAGGCCCCTAACACATGTCTTGAAACGCGACTTCATCTGTGCCAATACATTGTAAATTCATATAAAAGTTGAGATCCGTGAAGGGGAGGAGAGGCCGGCTTCGGTGTAGTGAGGTCAGCTGTGGTGAGCTCTGGGTCAAGTGAGGGTTTCTCTGAGGGCAGCACCCCCCAGCTGCGCAGGCGCGGACGTGGGAGCCCCCAGGTCCAGGGCGCTCCGCAGTCGCGCGGGTCCGGAAGCGCGGCGCGTGCCCGAGGAGCGCACGCGTGCACGCGTGCGCAGGAGGAGACCGAGCGCCAGGGGCTGAACTGCAGAGAAGGGGGCGCGGGGCACGCAGCATGGCGCCCAACATCTACTTGGTTCGCCAGCGGATCAGTCGACTTGGCCAGGTGCGGCCTGAGGCGGAGCCTCCCGGTCCCCGCCCCGGCCCGCCCCTCGCTTCCCCAGCCGCCCTTCTCAGTCTCCATCCCAGAGTCTCAGCCAGCTGCTCAACCGCCGCTGCTCCCTCCCCCACGCCCCGCCCCGCCCCGCCCCACGGCCGCCCGGGCCCGCCTCCGAGCCCGGCCAGCGCGCCCGCCCCGCCTGCCTTTCCTCGCCGCCGGGCTGCTCGGGTCTCGTCGGTCCCCTCCTTCTCCGCCCCGTCGTCCTGACTCTCTCTCCCTCCTTCCCTCAGAGAATGTCCGGCTTCCAGATCAATCTCAACCCTCTCAAGGAGCCACTCGGCTTCATCAAGGTCCACGAGTGGGTGAGTGCAGCCCGCGCCTGCCAGGCCGGCAGCCGTTCTGCGCGGCGCCCTAGGCAGGGAGACGGGGGCCTGCGAGCCGGGACGCTGCCCTGCCGCGCGGGCTTTGAGGCCGCCGCCCCGGGACTGGGAGTGGACGGTAGGGAGGGCAGGGAGGCCGCGGCCTGGGCCCGCGCTGGGCGGAGACGCCGCGGCGGGCGTCGAATCACGAGCTCCTCGGCCGCCTGGCTCCCCTGGGAGCACCCTCCCACACCGGAGCTCCCCTCTGGGTGCCCCGGTGGAGTGGGAGTTCAAATTTCCCCTTGGCTCCACTGCTTCCCGCAGAGGAAGGGAAAACTTCCTGCTGCGGTCTAACCGAAACCCGGCGGCTGGTGTCGCGCTCTGCGGAGAGGCTCAGCGGATACGTCCCAGCCGGTGCCCACTCGAGGTCCAGCTCCCTGGGAAGCCGATTTTGTCTTGTAGACTTGATTTGGCGAGCATTCCGTTCTTAATTTGTTTTTAAGATGGGCTCCGAGTTAAAAATAGTCAAAAATAAACTGTGGGCCAGGGGAACGAAGGAAAGGCCTTTTAACAAAACGCATGGAGTCAGATCGGTTCACTTAATAACACGTTAGGAATGAACATCGAGTTTGTTTTGGGTATTTCCAAGCAACATCCTGCTTGGAAAGTCAGCTTTTAGTCCTTTCCTGAGAACACTCACAATCATTAACATCAAAGAACACTTATTAATTCGACCTTGGCAATGATCAGTCACTTGGAGGAGTTGGTGAATATACCTGGCACTGCGGGCTTCCTTCAAACTTCGTGGCCCACTACGTATTTCTGCAGGCAAGTTGTGTTTATAGACAGCAGCATTTACATCCATAGCTTTTTCGCCCTTTTCTTTAGTGATACAGTGGTGAAGAAGAATAAGAACTTTCAATTTCCTGTTCTAAATAACCTACCGAGGATGTTTTTAAAAGCAACTGAAACTCAGTTTCTCTGATGGGTACCTAATGTGATTTTCTACTTAGACCATTGTAACCGCCCAAGGGGTTAGAGGGTTTCACCATTCACTGAACGTTTTGTGTGTTTTCTGAAAACTGAAGTAGTGCTGACTTCACACAAATGACTACTTTAAAGACGCATAAATAAATATACCTGATTTTTTTAAACCTAAGTCCAGATTTAAGTATAAAGAAAACCATGATTAAAGCATTTAAAAATGGCAAGAGGAAAATCGCATTAACGAGGCTAATCAAATATAAACGTTAAGAAAGTCTTACATCTAGATTTAGTCTCATTGAGGATTATAGTTAAATTTATAACTAATAATTTAGATTTCCACTTAAATGAAGAGGCAGCTGTTTATATCTGTGCTTATATTATTTGTCAAGTTTTTAAACAACTGTAAATTTAGCTTTTTCCTTACTATTTCAAGCACTAGTGATAAGTTCATTCGTGTTCTGATGTATTTTGAAAAATACCCTTTTTAAGCATCTTACGGAAATACTACTTTCAGTTTGAACAGCTTGTTATTACACAGGAGAGCCTTTTATGAAAAGACTACACATTGTTAATGGTGTGGTAAATATTTATTCAATGAATATTTGACTATTTTATGCCAGATCTGTACTAAATGCTAGCATACCAACATGAATAAAACATGGTCTTTTTCTCATGATCTGTTAAGGATGAAGGACATAAAAATATGAAAATGCCATATAATAAACTGAAATAAAGGTGTATGCAAAGAATAGTAGAAGAAATGAGGGAGAGAGCATTTGCTTGGAGGAACTAGGGAGGACTTCATAGCTGAAGGAACACTTGAAGGATGGGTACTGGTTCACTTGGGGAGTGACTTTCTAGGCAGAAGGAATCTTACATTCAGTGGTAGGAAATGCTGAAGCAGCATAACCCTGTATGAGAACTTAAAAGTAATTGGGGGTTAGTTGGAATATATACTGGGTTGGAGGATACAGTTTGGGATTATTCTGAAAACACTTCAAAGAGGTTCGCTGCTTCTAGGGTTAATCTTTGGGAATCTGGGCCCTTAAGAAAATGCATATGTGCAGGGTACAGAATATTGGAGTGTTTATTCCACTCAAGCCCAGAATCCCTGCCGTAGGGGATGGGAACTTACTTAAAGGCTTTAAACAAGTCAATAATATGACTAATTTTAGGCCCTCATAATTCCTCAATGAACAAATTTCTCTTCCTCCAATTCTGACCTTTCCAAACCATCCCTCTACACTGCTGACAAAATGAAAATTTCTAAAAGGATGGATTGGAAAGGTCAGAATTGGAGGAAGGGAAATCTGTTGATTGAGGAATTATGAGGACCTAAAATTAGTTTCAGTAGAACTGAAGGGGTTTACAAAAGGGGGTTACAAATTATGTATGGAAGGTAACGAAGAGGGAGGACCCTAAGATGACTGCTGTCTTTCTGACTTGGTTGCCATTAGCATCATTATTCAAGGTATGTCAGGAGGAGGAGGAGGAGCAGATTTTTGTGGAAGGTCAGAGGTTTCAGATGTATTGAGTTTGTGGTCTTTTTAGATCTTTTGGAGGTATCCTATAGGATACAGTTGTATATATGGATCTAGAATTTAAAATATGAGTTTGGGCTGCAGATACAGTAGATATCTGCCTGCAAAGGAGAGAAGGAATGTTAGGAAAATTGAGGGAAATAGTGCCTTGACATCACTATTAGAATTTCAAGAAAAGAGTACCCCAAAACATTAGGTGCAATAGAATGGTTAAGTAAAATAAGGACTAAAATGCATCCCTTGGTTTTACTAATCATACTGTTGGTGGCTTTAGCAAGAGCAGTTTCAGTAAAATCAAAAAGCCAGATTTTAGTAGGCTGAATGAAAGTGTGGTAAGAAAGTGAAGACAGCATAAACTGCTGTTTGACTGTGAAGATGGGAGAAATTTGGTGTTTACAAAAAAAAGCCACTAGTTCAGCTTACAACTCAGTTGCTTAAATGCATTCTCTGGAGACAACCGTTGTATTTGGTATGCAACAAAAGTCTTTATTTGCATTTCCCATTTTATCATACTGAGAAGAGAACTCAAGGGTCAAGGTTTAATAAAATTTTTACTGCTTCATCAGACATTCTTAAGTAAAACCGGTGTTTGTTGTTGTTGTTGTTCGTTTTTGGTTTTTGGTTTTGGTTTTTTTTTAACTACAAGTGTGTGGCAATGAAATAGAGTTTGGTATTCTTCTTGATTCTTACTAAGCCCGGCAGTTTTCCCCACCAGTATGTCTGCTTCATCGGTACAAATGTCAACACAGTCTAAAAGGCAAATAATGTCTTAGTATTGTTAGGAAAATGTTTTACCTCCATGAACTCCTGAAAGACTCTTGGGAGCTTTCAGGGGTCCACAGACCACACATTGAGAATTGATGAGGTAAACATCACTGGGGACCAGAAACAGAACAGAAAATATGTCAAAGAGAAAGACTATTCCCAAATTTGGTAATTATTAATAAATCTGGAGAAAACTCAACTGACTGTCTGTATTTATGACTTAAATAAAGCTGAGTACTTAAAAGTGTAGAAATAAAGAGATATATATAGCCACTCAAGACCTGGACCAATCTACTTGCAGGCTTAAGGTCTGGATTTGTGATAACTTGTATGTTCACTTATGTTGGTGGTTTGGGGGTCCCATCATAAGGTGTGGTGTTTGTGGACTAGGGGATTCAGAAGACCAAGCAGAAATGACCATGACCATAAAGCCACTAGACAGGGATAGAAGCAGGAGAGGACAATCAAGTTGAGCCTATATCAAATATCCTAAAACACATGAAGAAAACTAATTTTTACTTAAAAACCCAAATTATGTCAGTGGCAACAAATGCTGTCAGTTTTCCACAAAGTGACAGGCTTATTTCAAGACAGCCAGCCAGATCAACAGTCAGGATATTGATTCACTCCAGAAGACATGAAAATAGTAGAGCTATTAGAAAATGATTTTTATTTTTCTGTATTTATTTATTTTGAGACAGAGTCTCTCTCTTGTCCAGGCTGGAGTGCAGTGGTGTGGTCTCGGCTCAATGCAACCTCGCCTTCCAGGTTCCAGAGATTCTTCTACCTTAGTCTCCCGAGTAGCTGAGATTACAGGCACTCGCCGCTATACCCAGCTAAGTTTTGTATTTTTAATAGAGACGGGGTTTCACCACGCTGGCTAGCCTGGACTCTTAGCTCCTGACCTCAAGTGATCCACCCGCCTCAGCCTCCCCAAGTGTTGGGATTACAGGCATGAGCCACAGCACCTGGCTGATAAGTGATTTTTAAATAAATATATTTAGGTTCCTCGGAGATTTAAGGTGACATAAAGATGTTTTCAACATACAATGATTAGGAGTTAGCAAAAAACTAGCCGTTTATTTCAGCAGGAACTCTAGAGTTTACTTCTCATTATCCAATTTTTTTTTTTTTTTGGAGATGGAGTCTTGCTCTGTCACCCAGGCTGGAGTGCAGTGGCATGATCTCGGTTCACTGCAACCTCCATCTCCCAGGTTCAAGTGATTCTCCTGCCTCAGCCTCCCGAGTAGCTGGCACTACAGGCATGTGCCACCTCTCCCAGCTAATTTTTGTGTTTTTAGTAGAGACAGGGTTTTACCTGGTTTCACTAGGATGGTCTCAAACTCCTGACCTCAGGTAGTCCATCTGCCCCAGCCTCCCAAAGTGCTGGGATTACAGGCATGAGCCACTGCACCCAGCCATAATCCAAATTTTTAAGGGTTATTGAATTATCTTGGCAGGCTATTTAGAATTTTCTACTATTGTACATTAGAAGCAAACGGAGATAGAGTGAAACTGAAGCACTTTGTAACTGACTTTATTGCCCAGTGGGAATAAACTGAAATATCACCATCAAAAACAATACATGTTATAAAATGAATAACTTTAGCAAACATTTCAGACTTTGACTCATAAAAATCAATACCTTGGCTCTAGGCCAAGGTAAGATTATAATCAAAAGATTATAATCTTTTGATTATAAAGGCAAAC